GGCCCTGGGAGGCCGGGGGCAGGGGATGGGGACACGGGGGACATGGAGGATGTGGGGTTATGGGGGCACTGGGATTGGGAACTGGGGGTTTATGGGGTTCATGGTGTGACCTGAGTGCTCCAGCTGCCTCACTGGTCTGAACTGGGAGCACTGGGAGCACCGGGGGCTATGGGGATATTTGGGGTTTCTGACAGTGCAGTGGTACCGGGGCAGTCTGGGGGTCTCGGAGCGGTTTTGGGGTGACATTTTGGGTTTTGGGGTGACAATCTGAATTCGGGGTGTCCCCGCAGAGGTGGAGCAGGGCATGGGCGTGCTGCACAGCGGGGTGCTGTGGGGATATTTGGGGATATTTTGGGGATATTTGGGGTTTCTATGGATGTTTTGGGTACAGGGATGGTTTATAGCTTTCGGGGCAGTTTTGGGGTGACAATCTGAATTTCGGGGTGTCTCTCGTGTCCCCGCAGAGGTGGAGCAGGGCATGGGCGTGCTGAACAGCGGCGTGCTGTGGGGATATTTGGGGATATTGAAGATATTTGGGAATATTGAAGATATTTGGGGATATTGAGGATATTTTGGGGTTTCTGTCAATACGGTGGTACTGGGGCAGTTTTGGGGTGACATTTTGGGTTTCGGGGTGTCCCCGCAGAGGTGGAGCAGGGCATGGGCGTGCTGAACAGCGGCGTGGTGTACGCGCTCTGGGATTACAGCGCCGAGTTCGGGGACGAGCTCTCGTTCCGCGAGGGCGAGCCCGTGACCGTGCTGCGCCGCGAGCCCCCCGAGGAGCTCGACTGGTGGTGGGGGTCCCTCTACGGCCACGAGGGATACGTGCCCCGCAACTACTTCGGGGTGAGGGGGGGTCCCCGGCGCGTCTGGGGGCGTGGGGCATTTGGGGAGGGGTCCTATAGGGGGTAAAGGGTTTGGGGAGGGGTCTTAGAGGGGTTAAATCCACTGGGGAGGGGTCCTATAGGGGATAAAGGGTTTGGGATGAGGTCCTATAGGGGATAATGGGTTTGGGGAGGGGTCTCATAGGGGATAAAGGGTTTGGAGAGGGGATAAATCAATTGGGGAGGGGTCTTAGAGGGGGTTAAATCCATTGGGGAGGGGTCCTATAGGGGATAAAGGGTTTGGGATGAGGTCCTATAGGGGATAATGGGTTTGGGGAGGGGTCTCATAGGGGATAAAGGGTTTGGAGAGGGGATAAATCAATTGGGGAGGGGTCTTAGAGGGGGTTAAATCCATTGGGGAGGGGTCCTATAGGGGATAAAGGGTTTGGGATGAGGTCCTATAGGGGATAATGGGTTTGGGGAGGGGTCTCATAGGGGATAAAGGGTTTGGAGAGGGGATAAATCAATTGGGGAGGGGTCTTAGAGGGGGTTAAATCCATTGGGGAGGGGTCCTATAGGGGATAAAGGGTTTGGGATGAGGTCCTATAGGGGATAATGGGTTTGGGGAGGGGTCTCATAGGGGATAAAGGGTTTGGAGAGGGGATAAATCAATTGGGGAGGGGTCTTAGAGGGGGTTAAATCCATTGGGGAGGGGTCCTATAGGGGATAAAGGGTTTGGGGAGGGGTCCCATAGGGGATAGAGGGTTTGGGGAGGGGTCTCATAGGGGTAAAGGGTTTGGGGAGGGGTCCTATAGGGGATAGAGGGTTTGGGGAGGGGTCCCATAGGGGGTAAATCCATTGGGGAGGGGTCTTAGAGGGGGTTAAATCCACTGGGGAGGGGTCTTAGAGGGGTTAAATCCATTGGGGAGGGGTCCTATAGGGGGTAAAGTGTTTGAGGAGGGGTCTCATAGAGGATAAATTCATTGGGGAGGGGTCCTATAGGGGGTTAAATCCATTGGGGAGGGGTCCTATAGGGGGTAAAGGGTTTGGGGAGGGGTCCCATAGGGGATAAAGGGTTTGGGGAGGGGTCTTAGAGGGGTTAAATCCACTGGGGAGGGGTCCTATAGGGGATAAAGGGTTTGGGGAGGGGTCCCATAGGGGATAAAGGGTTTGGGGAGGGGTCTTAGAGGGGTTAAATCCACTGGGGAGGGGTCCTATAGGGGATAAAGGGCTTGG